ATTAAAATGTAAGAGGATGAATTCTCCTTAATTTTGCTGAAAAGTAAGTTTTTCAAAATTTTTCCTGGATTAATTTTTTAGTGAAAAATTTTGAAATTTTCGTAAAATGAGCTTCTCATTTTCCTCTTATGCCTGGAAAATTTTCAAAATTTTCTCTTTGCAAGTTTTCTAGAAAAAAAATAAAATGTAAGAGGGTGATTTTTTTTTAATTGCTTAAATAAGTCAATTTTTTAGAACATATTTGAAATTTAAGTGGTAAAAAAAAAGAATCACCCTTTGTCGTTTGTATATGATATTTAAGAACACCCTGTATAATACGCAGTTAATTAATTTATATATTTGGGACTCCAATGATTTTTTAAGAGCCGGTATTTCAATGTCACCTTAAGATATAGAATAAACACAGACATTGACAACATTGTCTGATCTTGTTCGATGACGACATCCTAAATGTTAATATAAGATAAAAACCGTATATTTTAAGGTAAGTCTTGATTTTAACAATAATAATTGCGAACGTGCTCTATGAATTAATCAACGAGAAAAACTTTTTTCTAAATTATGACGTCATCGATGACGTAAGTGCAAAAAAATACATAAAATAATTTGGTTGCACTAATTTTTTATATAAGTGTTAGGTAGTGCTATAGTGGGATGCCGAATAGGAGTGCTAACTTTTGCTTTAGGGGTGCTTAGCACCACCCCCAAGCATTCCCCTAGTTGCGCCTATGGTGATAAATTTAGCTGCACCTGTGGACATCGGATTGTGAACAGGATATAATTATTCATACCACTTTTGAAAATGGTGAATTCACAATTCAACGTTTAAATAAAAATACCTAATAAAAAATTTAAGGAGTGTTTTTTGAACGACTTTTGGGTCGAAATTTGGGTTAGTTTTGGTTACTGATGGGCCCGCAGAAATTTTGGCACACAGGCCCGGAGCTGGGTTGATTCGCCACTGTAATTCAGCTTCCCAACATTACTAAAATTTAAAATCCCTAAATGCCAAACCTCCTTCTATTTGATTTGGATATTCAAATATGATAAAATGGCAACAGAGCTTGTTTGTTGAAATGTCTAGAAAAAAATGGTCTCATATTCCAGAACAGGCTTTAGGAAAAGTAGGCCTAAAGTCTGTTTTTTTTTAAAAGATAAAAGTCAAAATGACATTATGTTGGCAATACAATGTAAATTTGTCGATGCTTTCAATTTTTTTATGTATAAATGGCTTATGTTGCCAACATGATTACTAAATAATTGACTTGGGAAATTATCTTTAACCCTTTAACAGGCAAAATTATCCTGAAACTATTTTATACAGAAAAGGCTAATTATGCAGTCTTCTGGAAACAAGAAAAGATGATAGGTCATTAGCAATCGAGTTTTCTATTTTTTTCCTCTCTATATTAGGCGGTAAACCATTTTACCAGAGACCATTTAGGACTAAATATGTAGGTAGTGTTCTCTGATACAAACCCTATACCACACCTTTGTAAATAATGCAATAATAATATGGAACTTCTGGGGATCAGAATAAAAAACAATAGCTTTCAAACAGATTTATAACAATAACGAAATATACAATAACTGAAGAAAAATCACATCAAACTCTATAACAAATCCATATGATCCTAAATATGGTCCCACATTTTTCCTAATCATCGGATATTGTGAAAACTGGATTGACAAAATCAAAAACTAATCACAAAAATATTGTAACGAAAATTAGTGCGATTTAAAATTTTTCATTATTGATATCACACCACAAAATATTATTTTCCTACGACCACATACGAAAATGACAAAATCCGCACTAGTTGGTTCTTTGGAAAGTGCTAAATATCACACGCGTGCTGAAAATACTTTCAATACGCGTGCTTAAAGTACTTTCCGTACAAACGTGTGGAAAATACTGTTGACATTATTTGTGATTGACATTTGACATGACAATGTACTTTCAATACGTGTATTGAAAGTACTTTCAGGACGTGTGTTGGAAATGAAAAAAAAAAATAAAATAAGAGAAAATTGGTGTAAATTGGTTTCTGGTCCTAGGAAAAATGGTGTACATCACTTGTGAGAAAGCGTCTTTCATACACTCGTGTGATTTTCGCACTCGGCTACCGCCTCGCGCGAAAAAACACTCGTGTGAAATTTGTCACTTTCTACACTAGTAATGTAATATACTATTTCAATGGTAAAATTGACAATTGTATACATTTGAAAGAAAATTTGGGAAAATTTTCCTAGCGCAAAAAGAACAGGATGAAAACTTGATTGATATTTCATGGAGATATGTATAGGAAGCATGTATCAAAATATGAATCTTGAACTAGGAGTAGAACTTATAGAAAAAATAATTCAAAATGTGTACAAAATTGACAAAATTAGTTCTAAGCTGTAAATATGTATAGTTTTTTACTAACAATCTGAGTACAGCATTAGAAATTTGAATTTATATCTATTATATATATATATACCGGGTGTCTACGAGATTAGTTTCGCGCTGGCATTTGCTGGTTTTTTTTGCAATGGCAAAGATTTTTGGTATAGAGTATAAGTTTGAGAAATGTCATCTTTTGACATATGTGTCAATGTTTGGTAAAATCCGGTTTGACTGGAAATGACCCTAACTTCGTAATTTCGAATGGCATCCCAAGAATTTTTTCGCATTTTTGGGATCTGCGGATCATGATGTGTACGAAAACGTCAAATTTGAACATTTTTGAAGAAACTTAAGAATTCTGGATCAAAATTTATTTTTGAATAGAAAGTGACAGAATGGCCTTTAAACTGTTTTTTTTCAACTCACACGATCGTAGAAAAATGCGAATGTCAAGTTGTTATCCTTTGCTTGTTCTCCAAAGGCTTCCAAAGTTAAAAAAATCACATTTTACGTGATAACTCAATGAAATCAGTGAAATCACCCAACTTTCACAACAAGAGATTTTTACCTTTTTCAAAATGAAATCAACTATGCATTAAAACTTTTCATTTATGCCAGTTTTTAATTATTTTCTCATTATTTTTATTATGCACTACTATAAATGATGAAACTACTTGTAAATGAACCTGTATGAAAAAACGCTGTCTAAAAGGAGCTGGTGGTCTTTTTTTACTTGTCAAGCCATTGACAAGATCTATGGATAAGATACATTTGTTTGCATAGACATTTGTCATTGTTTGGCATCTCGGGAATTTGTAAATACAAAGTTTGAATACAGGGGCTCATTTATAGGTAGTTTTATCTTATCATTTATAGTAGTGCATAATAAAAATAATAAAAAAATAATTAAAAACTGGCATGAATGAAAAGTTTTAATGCATAGTTGGTTTTATTATGAAAAAGGTAAAAAACTCTTGTTGTGAAAGTTGGGTGATTTCACTGATTTCATTGAGATATCACGTAAAATGTGATTTTCACAACTTTGGAAGCTTTTGGAGAACAAGCAAAGGATAACAACATGGCATTCGTATTTTTCTACGATCGTGTTAGTTGAAAAATAGTATATTGTTGTATTAGGAGTAGAAGCTTCACTTTTTTGTGCTGAAGCAGTAGGTTTGCGAGCCGAACGTAGTGAGGCTTGAAATACTGCTGAAGCACAAAAACGTGCTTCTACTCCGTATGCAACACACTATTTTTTCTCCAAACTAACGGAGTAAGCTCGGGGGCAAGTGGATGGTTGAGCGGCAGTAAATGTACGAGCGGCACTAAAAGTACTTTTGCTGTCGCTAGGGTTGCCAAGCAGCATAGAAATTAAACTTCTACCACCTCGACAGGTGTTAACCTGTTAGATTTACCTAGCAGCATAGAAATTAAATTTCTGACATCTTGACAAGGGTTAATAAAGTGACGTTTTTTTGACGTTTGGAGAAAAATTAAATTTCTACCACCTCGACAGGTATTAACCCGCTGAATTTGCCTACCAGCATAGAAATATTTCTAACATCTTGACAGGTGCTGACAAAGTGACGTTTTTTTGACGTTTGGAGAAAAAACAATTTAAAGACGATTCTGTCACTTCCTATTCAAAAATAAATTTTGATCCAGAATTCTTAAGTTTCTTCAAAAATGTTCAAATTTGACATTTTCATACACATCATGATCCGCAGATCCCAAAAATGCGAAAAAATTCTTGGGATGCCATTCGAAATTACGAAGTTAGGATCATTTCCAGTCAAACTGGAAGTTACCAAATATTGACACATATGTCAAAAGATGACATTTCTCAAACCTATACTCTATACCAAAAATCTTTGCCATTGAAAAAAACCCCAGCAGCGCGAAACTACTCTCGTAGACACCCGGTATAGACAATAATTACCTATTTGATTCGTCAAAATCCCTTCCGGATTATAAATATTAATAAAAAAATGAATTGAAGCCCATAAAACAACATAATTGATGTTTTTCGAGTCCCACTGGTATATATGGTGTACCACTTTCAAAAATATGACCGCATCCAGAAAAATCTTGTGATAAACTGACATCGGAGATCAATGTATATTGAATACCAATGTTTTTAGGATGATTACAACCAGATTTTTAGGGTTAAAATAAGGAATAAACAAGGTGGTACTAGGTTACACCAGAGAACGTTAAAGGGTAAAAAAAAACAGACTCTATAACCAGCCACACTGAAAGTTTACACAATTTTGATTTAATTTATATAAAGTTGGCAACACTGTTAGAGTGAGTTCAACACTAAAAATTACAAAAATGAATTTTGTTAAAATCTACCTAACTTTTCTAAAATCGATGAAAAATTAACTCTCAAGCTTCTATCCATCAAGGTCTGCAAGTGACGTCGCCGCTACCAGCTGCTCATATTAGTGACGTCACTTGCAGACCAGGTAACGACTTGAGAATTGGTGAGCATACACTTTTATTAAGATAATCAATCCTGTTAGTTTACGATTCTTGCATAATCCACATAAATTCAATATTTTCAATTTCAAAATATTAATTTTTTTGAAAACAAATCAAAAATACTTACAGCCAAGTGACATTTAGCATCGAAATTACTCTTGTCGTTCTTCTCCCTGGCATGCTTCATAAGACAATGTATAGTTTTCCCTCCAGTTTCAAATCCCTTACAAAACATTGCAGTTTCCCTTTTGCACTTGTCCACAATCTCTGGCGAAAGCCTGTAATCCTCCATAAGCATCTTCCTATGCTCTATAAGCTCTGCTTCACAATCTGACGATATTTGACTGCCATTTTTGTTAATATTTTCAAGGCATAATAGAATTTGTGCCAACCTGACTGTTTTATCACTAGAAGTTTGCTTACGGCAATGGGTTTTTTTAATGTCCTCTCTACATGAACGCATAAGCCCTTTACTGACTTTGTAGTCTTGCGAAATGAGTTTTTGCCTCCTAAACAAACTAGTTTTACATCTTTGGCTTAATTTTTCAGGATTTTGCCTTGCCAAACAATGAAAAACCCGACCACTGCCTGCAGGAAATTGCCTGCAATACCTCGAATGGTCTTCAGCACAGTCCAAATACAATTGCTGATCCAGTTTTATGTTGTCAGACTGTACCTCTGACAATCTGTATAGTTCTCTTTTGCAATTATCTGAAGCAAGGTTTAAGATGTTTTTTTGCAGGCAGGCAATTGTGCTTATTTGCGACAGGCCTTGTGAGTCTACAATTCCACATTTGAGGCTTTGCACGTCACTTTCGCACTCCTTTAGAAACTTGGCAAGAAATTTGTAGTCGGTAAAAGCTACATTTTCCATCCTGTGTACCAGCTCTTGGCAAGCACTTACTTCAATGCTTTCTTTGGCTATTGCCAGACATTTGAAATAATCTCCTTCATCCTTATGGCAATTTAACTTGTTCATGTCCTCTCTACATACTGGCAAAAGTGTTTCCATAACATTTTCATCTTTGATTAAATTGTTAGTGGTTTCCCAAATGATTTGTTGGCAATTTTTGTTGATCAAAGCAAACTGGGTTGGGTTTAGCATGTGCAAACATTCCAAGACGGACAAGTCGTCGTTTTCCGGGTCGTTACCACAAAACTGTTTCATGTGGCTGCATTCTGGATGGTCTAGGAAGATTTTCGGGGTGTTGCTACGGTCCTGAAGGAGTTGGGGATTGTTGCTTAACACTGGCAAGATTAGGAAGGTTAAATAGTAAATAATTAGAGGCATAATGACGGAGGGAGACTAAAAAGTTGATTTTATGCTACATTTAGTTTACGTTTAACTTTTTTCACTTTATTTGTAGAGTAAACAATAGGATAATTATAATAAATAAATATCCGGCTTATTTGGCATCTGGTTAACACAACAACAGCTGATTTTTGACGTGAAGATTACTGGCGCCATCTATCAATCGGAAGTCAAAGCTACAAGTAGATTTACTCTGAAACAAAATAGTTTACTCGTTTCACTCCGGAGTGAATAAAAAAACGATTTGGATCGAAGTTTGGAACTGCTTTTGCAGTATAAAATATAATAAACCGAAATTATTCTTACAACATTTCAGAGCAAAAAGAGTCAGTGCACTTGGTAGAGTAGACTTACTAAAAAACCCAAATTAATTTTCGAATCCGTCTACTGTTATAGTGAACTAGCTGTTGCCCGCGGCTTCACACGCCCAATACAAATTTTGTAGGTAACATTAGGTAATCTTCTTTCAAAGAGCTAAGGGGATAGTTGCGTCAGACATATGGTCATATAACTCTTATTTTTGCAGCACCTCTCTGTAAACCACATTTTTTGTTCTGCTTTGTGGCTACAGAATATGAAGACTATTTTTTGACAGCTGACGTTAAATTTTTTTGAAGTGCCACTCGCTGCTAATAGCTTTGTTCGCGGATTATATTTTGAACCGATTCCGAACCAGTCCGGAACTAATTGAGGACTATCGTAGAGCGCATGCCCAGTTATAGCGGCTTGCTCACTCCGTGCACTCCGAGTGATTCCGTACGCACTTCAGCCGTTCGGGTATTACCTTTTAGCTTATCAGATAACGGCTGGAGTGCGATCGGAGTAACTCGAAATGAGCAACCCGAACCCAACTTGTGAATGAGTTCAGGTTCCTATTTTATCGCGAACAGTTTCGGAACCGAACAAAAACTCCAGAACCTTGCTCCAGACTGTCGAAAACGTGAACGAATTGCGAATGTCATGTCCCAAACTTGAAGTTAGCTTAGCCTGGGACCGGTGGAATTTGTTCAGAATCGGTTCCAAATCTTTTCTGGTGAAAGCATGAAAATATAACGACAAAAACACATTTTTTTTTGCACTGATTCTGCAAATGGAAATCGCTATGAATTTGATTCTGCTTGTCATATTTTTGAATTTGACAGCTGACACGTCGTCTGTTTCTGTTTACACTTTTTTCCCCGCACTCCCGCACCACACCGTTTCTTATTTTTGGTTATTTAAGGCGATTGCTCAAGTCCATGTTGATATTATTTCTTAGTGAGCATCTCCAACCCATTACCTACCTGTTTGCAAAATTTCATCTCGATTGTTTTAGTAGTTTTCGAGATTTCGTGTTTAATCAGTCAGTCAGTCAGTGAGTGAGTGAATTTCACGTTTATATATATAGATAACTTCATTGTTTAGTAGAATATTAGAGTAATTCAAACTGTAATAACAAAGCAGTGCAAACAGAACAAAGTAAGTGCGGATGGAACACAAATTAAAGCAATTGGAACACTTAGAGTAACTCAAGCAATAAACAATAGAAGGAATTCAAATAAAATTATACAAATGAAATACAAGTAATTTTCAAGTTAGTGCAAATGGAACAAAATTACAATAATCAATGTAGTACCTCGGACAATTGAACAGATCAAAAAGAAATCAGTACACTTGAAACAGTTAGGAATTACTAAAAACCTAATATTTTTTGAATTTATTCCAGGCTATAATTGTTCTAGAGTAAACTGGATGGTGATTCTGCTCTGTTCTGTGGTTGATTTCGATCCATTTTTGATGGTTCCTATATGATTTGACAACAGTTTTAAACACAAAACAGGCTGATTTGAATCGTCTCAGCACAGTTCCAGAACTATAGTACAATGTCGTCACTTCGTATTGTTCTAGAATAGTCATGTTTGTGTCCCAAGTCCTGATATAAAATCAATGTTTTGAACTGTGCCATTACTTTTTCTACTCTAGAACAGTTTTAAACACAAAACTTTATTAACTTTATATGTTTCAAGGATGATTCAGAACATTTTAGAGCTACTTTTTATTGCTTTTTCATTCTATTCAGTTGTTTCGAACAGTCTTAAAGCTCATTCTGTTCAAGATTCTTTTTATTCGAAATAATTCCAAACACACAGGTCATTCTGCATTTTTCATTGTTCCAAGTTAGCCAGAGTACTTTTACAAACTCAATTTAGAACAGTTTCTGGCTTTAAATTGGTGGCAAAGATATTCCAAAAAGGCATTTTCCTAAGTTGATTTGCTGCTCTGAGTTGTTCCAAACAATTTCAAAAACTCACTCTAGAGTAAGGTTTTTCAATAAGTTAAAACATTCATCATTCACTCTGTATTTTTCACCGTCCTTAATGGCGTTTCCGATTGGTAGATTCAGTGCGCACTGAGTGTATTTGCATCCTTTTAATCGACCTGTAGGAGAAAAAGACAGAAGTAGAAAAAATTGCACTAGTTCCGTTTTTTCTAATACTGCAAATCCACTCTAGAACAGTCAGAGTAAAATTACTAAAAACTCAAAATTTATTTTCAAATCAACTTACTGTTCTAGTGAATAAATTCATTGACTAGTAACATAATGGAATAGTTCGAACAGTAATGATCAGAGCAACACAAACAGAACAGCGTTAGTGCAAATGAAATAGAAATTAAAGCAATTTCAAAAACTCACTCTAGAGTAAGGTTTTTTAATAAATTGAAACGTCCATCATTCACTCAATATTTTCCACTGTTCTTAAGTCTTTCCAAGTACTACAAATCCACTCTAGAATAGTCGGAGTCAAATTACTAAAAACTCAAAATTAATTTTCGAATCAGCAGTTCTAGTAAATAAATTCATAAAGGAATAATTTGAACAGTGATAATCAGAGAAGTGCAAACAGAACAAAGTTACTGCAAATGACACAGAAATTAAAGCAATTTCAAAAACTCACTCTAGAGTAAGGTTTTTTAATAAATTAAAACGTCCATCATTCACTCAGTATTTTCCACTGTTCTTAAGTCTTTCCGAGTACTACAAATCCACTCTAGAATAGTCGGAGTCAAATTACTAAAAACCCAAAATTAATTTTCGAATCAGCAGTTCTAGTAAATAAATTCATAATGGAATAATTTGAACAGTGATAATCAGAGCAGTGCAAACAGAACAAAGTTACTGCAAATGAAACAGAAATTAAAGTAATTTCAAAAACTCACTCTAGAGTAAGGTTTTTTAATAAATTAAAACGTCCATCATTCACTCAGTATTTTCCACTGTTCTTAAGTCTTTCCGAGTACTACAAATCCACTCTAGAATAGTCGGAGTCAAATTACTAAAAACCCAAAATTAATTTTCAAATCAGCAGTTCTAGTAAATAAATTCATAATGGAATAATTTGAACAGTGATAATCAGAGCAGTGCAAACAGAACAAAGTTACTGCAAATGAAACAGAAATTAAAGCAATTTCAAAAACTCACTCTAGAATAAGGTTTTTTAATAAATTAAAACATCCATCATTCACTCAGTATTTTCCACTGTTCTTAAGTCTTTCCGAGTACTACAAATCCACTCTAGAATAGTCGGAGTCAAATTACTAAAAACCCAAAATTAATTTTCAAATCGGCAGTTCTAGTAAATAAATTCATAATGGAATAATTTGAACAGTGATAATCAGAGCAGTGCAAATAGAACAGAGTTACTGCAAATGAAACAGAAATTGAAGCAATTTCAAAAACTCACTCTAGAGTAAGGTTTTTTAATAAATTAAAACGTCCATCATTCACTCAGTATTTTCCACTGTTCTTATGTCTTTCCGAGTACTACAAATCCACTCTAGAATAGTCGGAGTTAAATTACTAAAAACCCAAAATTAATTTTCAAATCGGCAGTTCTAGTAAATAAATTCATAATGGAATAATTTGAACAGTGATAAGCAGAGCAGTGCAAACAGAACAGAGTTACTGCAAATGAAACAGAAATTGAAGCAATTTCAAAAACTCACTCTAGAGTAAGGTTTTTTAATAAATTAAAACGTCCATCATTCACTCAGTATTTTCCACTGTTCTTATGTCTTTCCGAGTACTACAAATCCACTCTAGAATAGTCGGAGTCAAATTACTAAAAACTCAAAATTAATTTTCGAATCAGCAGTTCTAGTAAATAAATTCATAATGGAATAATTTGAACAGTGATAATCAGAGCAGTGCAAACAGAACAGAGTTACTGCAAATGGAACAGAAATTAAAGCAATTTCAAAAACTCACTCTAGAGTAAGGTTATTTAATAAATTAAAACATCCATCATTCACTCAGTATTTTCCACTGTTCTTAAGTCTTTCCGAGTACTACAAATCCACTCTAGAATAGTCGGAGTCAAATTACTAAAAACCCAAAATTAATTTTCAAATCAGCAGTTCTAGTAAATAAATTCATAATGGAATAATTTGAACAGTGATAATCAGAGCAGTGCAAACAGAACAAAGTTACTGCAAATGAAACAGAAATTAAAGCAATTTCAAAAACTCACTCTAGAATAAGGTTTTTTAATAAATTAAAACATCCATCATTCACTCAGTATTTTCCACTGTTCTTAAGTCTTTCCGAGTACTACAAATCCACTCTAGAATAGTCGGAGTCAAATTACTAAAAACCCAAAATTAATTTTCAAATCGGCAGTTCTAGTAAATAAATTCATAATGGAATAATTTGAACAGTGATAAGCAGAGCAGTGCAAACAGAACAGAGTTACTGCAAATGAAACAGAAATTGAAGCAATTTCAAAAACTCACTCTAGAGTAAGGTTTTTTAATAAATTAAAACGTCCATCATTCACTCAGTATTTTCCACTGTTCTTATGTCTTTCCGAGTACTACAAATCCACTCTAGAATAGTCGGAGTCAAATTACTAAAAACCCAAAATTAATTTTCAAATCGGCAGTTCTAGTAAATAAATTCATAATGGAATAATTTGAACAGTGATAAGCAGAGCAGTGCAAACAGAACAGAGTTACTGCAAATGAAACAGAAATTGAAGCAATTTCAAAAACTCACTCTAGAGTAAGGTTTTTTAATAAATTAAAACGTCCATCATTCACTCAGTATTTTCCACTGT